CCCAACTGAATTCAAGTTCAACATTCCACCTGATTCGCTTCGGCCGTGGTACCTGATCGGCAGTAGCCACACCACACCGCATTGAGACACACATCAGGGCCTTCCAGCCCAGAGCTGGTTCTTGCAGCAGCGTAGCGGTTCGCTGCACAAGCCTCTTGTCTCAACACAAGACAGGCCGGTGGTCGCATCCAATCCAGCACTCTATCCTCGGTTTCTCAATCATCAATCGCTCTACGCTACGACGTCTGACAGGCCAAGAGCTCTCGGCGTCTTTTTGGGGCAAATCAACATATTTGGTAAACCCGAGCACAGAATAGAGTGTTTTTCCAAAATAGCCGGCAAGCAACCCCTTCGCCTCAAGCCCCCGGTTCGTCCGAATCGCTAGCAGACGGTATCCTCACCCCTCGTCAATGACTCGACGGGGGAAACCTATGCTCTACCTCTGACATCACAAGGCCCGGTGAAGAGTCCAGTGACTTTGACTTTGGGCCTCACAGCTGCCCTGCTGTGCCGCACTTGGATGATCCTAGTCGAGGGGTGTCCCCAGCCCAGCCCTGTTGCTGGAGGCGACCTCCCAACCACCCGAACCCTGGTCTTGCGCACAACAACCATCACTCATCCACCCACCACAACATCATACCAGCCAGCTAGATGGATAAACATGCGGGCAAAGTGGCTGTGGAGTTGACACAAGTGTGGCATAGCGAGCTGCAAGTACATGCAGTCTCGCTTTGTTGAAGGTACCGTTTGCATGCAGTCTGCATGCCTCTGTACAAGGCCAGGACCATGGGGGAAAGACACAACTCCGGCCCATACATACAAACAGGACGGCTACTTACACCACATAACAACACTACTGCAATCCTAGGCACATTTGCTCCATCATATCCACATTCTAGACGTCAAAGACGCGCAATATCCATGACTGAAGCTTATCTGCTACCCTAATCGCTGTCCTTACTCACGCGGCTCCCTCGTTCTGTATATGAACCCCCAGCTCTCCCTCCATCATCTCTCCCTCTACTCTCTAGGATTCACCTCTTCCATCCCTGGCAATACTCTCGCTCATAGGTCCACCCTAAATCAACCTGCCTGCCACGTTTCGTTCAGTGTTTTTACTTACCACTTTTACCTTCCACCGACCCTTCGACACTCATTATCCACAACATCGTGTGGCTGGGCTTAGGCAACAGTCGAACACCACCTCCATCCGAGCTTGAAGTACCGACGGAAGAACAAGGCCCTACCCGATCTCACACTCCCGTCATCCCACGCGGCAGCTGCACAGAGGAAACCACGCCCAAGGAAGCACCCGCCTCTTTTGTGCTTTGTGAACGAAGTCATTGTTGGACCAAGCGGGTCAGAAACTTGCGGGGACACCATTCACCACCTCATCTCTGGGAAAAAAGATCTTGGCTGTGGAAGATTTTCTCTGGCTACAACAACAACTTGCTCCTCAACCAAGCAATTTCGACCTTGTTGTGACCTCGACAGATCAGCATACTCTTACAAAAACCACACACCGCCTACTTGCTCTCACAATCTCAGGTATGTCAACATCACTTCTTCGGCTCCATCGTCTTCATCGTGGGATGGCCGTCGGCGCCCCCCTCGTTGTCACTTCCAGTTTCTATCGCCACGTTTGCGCGATCCGCCTTCCGAATTTCACCAAAGTCAGGTGCCTCTGATGGTCATCAGCGAGAGAAGCCAGGATTCATTGAGATCCCGGTTGCCCGAGTCTCTGCCGCTCATGACGAGTTGGCCTGGTCTTTTCTGAATCTTCACATTTCCTGGTCTACAAAAAGTCACGATTCGCCTTTTTGTGGAATCTTTTTCTAACAAACAAATTTTCAGACAAGATGAAGTACTCGGCTTCCGTTCTCGCTACCCTGGCCAGCGCCGTTATGGCCATGCCCCAGGCCGGCAGCGCCGCCCTTGCTCCTAAGGAGGCTGCTCCCGCTGGCTGCCAGACCTCGTACTCTGGCAACTTCGGCATCACCATCGTCGGTCTCGGCAAGCGCAGCCTCGAGGTAGGATCATCCGTTGCCAATTTTGAGAGCTCCTGCTAACAAATCACCAGACTCGCAGCAACTGCGGCCAGAAGGGCGCTCTTGACCTGACCCTGAAGGACAGTGTCCTCACCGACTCCCAGGGCCGCATTGGATCCATCGTCGCCAACTATCAGTTCCAGTTCGACGGCCCTCCCCAGTCCGGTGTCATCTACACCTCTGGCTTCTCCGTCTGTGGCAACGGCTCCCTCGCTCTCGGTGGCTCGACTACCTTCTACCAGTGCCAGTCTGGAGACTTCTCCAACCTGTACGATAGAAGCTGGGCTCCTCAGTGCTCTCCCATCCACCTGAGCGTCCTCCCTTGCGGCTCCGACGCCCCTGTTCCTTCCGGCAACATCGTTGGAACCACCATGGTCGCCACCACTGTCGTTACCGTCATCGGTGACGGCCAGCCCCAGGTCGTCCCCACCACCGTCCCCGTCCCCATCTGCCAGATTGGCGATGGCCAGATCCAGGGCCACACGACTCCGTGTGGAGAGCTCCCCCCCGTCACCGTCACTCCCGCTCCTCCCGCTCCTCCCGCCCCGTCTGCGCCGGCTCCTTCTGCCCCCGCTGCCCCTCCCCCGGGAACTCCTGTCGCTCCTCCCGCTGCGCCTCCCGTCACCACCCCGGCTGCTCCCCCCGTCCAGCCGTCTCAGCCTGCCGCTTCGCAGCCCCCTGTCGCTCCTCCCGCCGTCAACACCACCACTCCCGCCCAGCCCCCGGCTACCACTGCTCCCGCCACGCCCTCGAGCACGACTCCCGCCGCTCCTCCTGTCGCCGCGGGCCAGCACATTGTTCCGGCTCCCTTCGTTGCCTTGGTCGCTGGTCTGATGGCCGTTGTGTACATGATTTAATGACAAGCGCCATGTGCCTTTTGGCTTTCGGGGGGAAGGACCTCATCGGGTCTCGGAGGAGATAATGTTTCGCTTACGATTCTTCACTTGGCCTGTTTTGGGCATTTTAATGGAATGAATACCATCACGAGATACACGGCTTTTGTCTTTGGGGATTGGGCTGGACAGGTTTGCAGGCTTGCAAACGGATTAGGGACGAACATGATTCCCCGGGTAGTAATCCCAATAGACTAAAACGAGCAGTCTTTTACTGCAAAACCTTTCAGTTCCGTTTGATGCGAACGTGATTCTGATATGTGACACGCGAGTCGGTGATATGGAGCAGTTGAAGCAGCTCCAAACCACCTCAGGGAAGGCGGGCAGTGGGTAGTCTGCAGGGATCATCCATTGCATAGGTGCACAGACCAACTAACCGTGCACCTCGAAATTCTAGCACGCGCCTTTCCCCAGTGACGTCTTTTGCCCATTTCTTCCACTTCCACTTCACCCCAACCCAGCCACCCCCAACCCTCCAAAATGTCCGAATACTGGAAGTCAACGCCGAAATACTGGTGCAAGCACTGCGGCATCTTCGTCCGCGACACCAAGATCGAGCGCCAGAACCACGAAGCCACCGGCAAGCACCAGGGCGCGCTCAAGCGCTTCCTGCGAGACCTCCACCGCGGCCATGAGCAAGAGGAGCGCGACAAGGACCGCGCGCGGCGCGAGATTGAGCGCCTGAAGGGCGTCGCCTCGGGATCTTCATCATCATCTACGTCATTTGCGAAGCCAGGCTCGAGCAGCAGCGCGCCGGCACCGGCGCCCGGCGGGACGGAGGCAGCGAGGAAGAGGCAGATGGAGCAGCTTGCGGAGATGGGCGTGTCGATACCTACCGAGTTTCGAGGCGATATGGCGATGGCGGGCGAGTGGACCGTCACTGCGACGAAGGTTTTCGACGAGGATGCGGTCAAGGAGAAGCCCGTGGAGGCGAAGGCTGTCGGCGTCCGGAAGCGCGAGCAGACGGAGGAGGAGAAGGAAGAGGAGGACGCCGTGCGGGGGCTGTTCAAGAAACCCAGGAAATGGGGCGGTATGAGGGCGATGCCGGAGGACGACAAGGAGCTCGACGCGCTGCTCAGCGCCGACACGCTATTCCGGCCGAAGAAGGAGGAGTCTGCTGCTGTGGAGGACAGTGTCAAGAAGGAGGAGGGCGCAGACGAGGCTGCGGCGGCGGTGACATCAGACGTGCCCGCTATCAAGGCTGAAGAGGACGAGGCTGGCGACAAGCTTTCGGCAGCGGCGTTGGGGCCAATCGCCGATGCCGACGGGGTGAAGAAGGAGGAAGACGGCGTGGAATCCCCTGCTGTGGTGTTCAAGAAGCGCAAGGCCAAGAACATTCGGCAAAAGTGATTTGCTGTGGGGAATATCTGGGGTTCAGTCAGGGGTGGCACAATTTGCATAGCGAAGGCGTTCTGGGGGCTGCTCCCAAAGAGACAGACAGCACCGTTTTTTCTCTCCATCTCATAGACACCGCTCGGACATACGACCTGTCATCCTTTCTTCTTTTTGGATGATGCCATTACACGGAAAGCCTCGGTTCATCTTGACATGCGCAGGTTGCAATTGGGCCCTCTAGAGTTTCATCGGTGCGGTCGATCAACGAATCCTCCTCACTCGGGCGGCAATATCACGAACCCGTGCCAATGATAGTCAAGCCTACCTAGGTGGTCTGCCAGGAAAACACAGCGATTGAACACAGTACGAATTAACACCGAAGGGTATATTCGCACAAGCCGGGGCCTGATAAATTAGCGGGGTGAAAGTCCAGCAGCCGCACGTGACCGCCACTCAACAGCAGACGGGACCGTATTCGTAGACGGGGTCTACCTGGTCGCTCCATGTCAATGGAACGACACACCGTTGAACATCCTTTTCCTTGGCCCGGCTGGGGGTGACTCCAATCAATCCGCAGAAACCCAAAAAAGGCAAATTTCATTTTCACCTTCACACACACATCTCAACTCACCGGCCCCGTTTTCCAATGTCCGCCTCATCTTGACTACGCCACAAATCAGAAGACAAAAACTCTCAACAATGAGGCGTCCCGATGCAAAAGACGATGGTGTCCCCCCCAGCAGCTAGTCCGTCCTCAATATCCCCGGCCAGCAGCTCCCACCTCGGGAAGCGCACCGAACTGAGCAGCGAGGACGCGGCCGACAACAACAACAACAATGACGGAGGCAAGCCGACCTCCCGCCCCAAACGCGCCCAGGTCTCCCGCGCCTGCGCCCGCTGCAAGAACCTCCGCCGCGCCTGCAACGAGTACCGCCCCTGCAAGCGCTGCGTCGACGCCGGCCTCGGCGACCAGTGCCTCGGCCTGCCTGGCCCCGTCTCGCTGGCCTGGGTCTCGGACGGCAGCCAGGCTTTTGGTCATGTCCCGCACGAGGCCGTCCAGCGCATGGCCGAGCTGCTGCCGGCCCGCGTCATGGACTACTGCGTCGACCGCTTCTTCGCGCGCCTGCACCCGACGATCCCGATCCTGACGCCCGAGTACGTGGCGCACCTCAAGGTCGTCGCCGGGCCCAGCGGCGAGCCCGGCATGGAGGCCCACTGCCTGCTGACGGCAGTGTGCGCGCTGGTCCTGCTGCAGGTCGAGGAGCCGGAGAGCCTCTTCGTGCGCGGGCTGATCCCGGAGAAGAACGCGCTGCACGGCCGCATGCTCTTCGAGGAGGCGCTCGCCGCGCACCGCAACTTTGCGCGCCGGAGCAACCCGAGCTTCGAGCAGTGCCTGCTGACCTTCTTCCTGTACGCGTGCCACTCGGCGCTGTTCCACCACAGCCAGGCGTTTCTGTTTCTCCGCGAGGCGACGACGCTGTTCCTGCTGTTGCGGATGAACACGGAGTCGGCGCCGCGCGCGCTGGCGGACCGGCTATTCTGGGTGCTGCTGGTGTCGGAGCGCTCGCACGGGATCCGGTACCGGCGGCCCGTGACGCTGCAGATCACGGCGGAGAGCCCGGCCATGGACGAGGGGGACCCGCACCTGTTGTCCGGGTTCTGGAGCCTGGCGGGGCTGTTCGCGCCGCTGGACACGAGCTTCATCGCGCTGCTGAACCAGGAGAAGGTGGCGACGCCACCGTCGAACGCGGCGCTGACGCTGATCGAGACGGCGGTGAACTCGGCGCTGCGCGCGAGCAGCGAGCTCAAGGACACGCAGAAGGCGAATCTGAGGGTTACGCAGCTGTGGCTGCGCATCATCCTCTGGCAGCTGCGGCTGCGGTTCGGGTATTTGCAGGTGGCGGAGGAGGCGGCGCAGAGCAGCATGACGTACCACTACCCGCTGGAGGTGGCCAAGGACCTGGTGCTCTCGACGCGGGACCTGCCGGTGGACAGCATCAAGGTGCACGGGGTGGGGTTGACGGAGAAGCTGTTTGACATTGCGAGCGCGGCGGTGGATGTGCTGGCGAGGGTGCCGATTACGCCGAGTAGTCCGCACAGGATGGGCGCTGGGCCAGAGGATGATTTGAATTACATGCGGCGGCTGATTACGAGGCTGCCTGGAGGGAACTCTATATATGACGAGCTGTTGGATAAGCATATCCAGCAGGCGGTGCCGAGTATGGTGCTCGGAGGGGGAACGCCGGGGCAGTCGGGGCATCCGACGTGAGATGTGTATATCACAGGAAGGGGGGAAAAGCATGGGGATGTTCATTAGGCATGATTACGCTAGGGATACTATCTAGTGGTACACAATATCCAGGGTATTTAACAAGTTTTCTTTTTGAACCAGATTTCATTGTACATAAAAAAAGGGACATTCAGTGCTCCTCGACGAGCTTCTTCTCGCTGCTGAGCTCCCGCGAGTACGGGTCGATCTTTGTGCTTGCAAACTTCCTCGCCGAGACGCCGTGCTCGAAGAGCAGGTCCAGCTCGGCGTACGTGCGGCCCTTGGGCTCGGGGACGCGGAAGTAGACCCAGACGGAAGACAGCAGGCATGTGCCCGCCCAGAAGAAGGCGGTGCGGGCGCCCCAGTCCCACGCGGTGGACGAGAGCTGGTAGTTTGTCATGACGTTCACGAAGATGTTGCTGGCGTTGTAGCCGGCGCGGGCCATGACGATGGTCTTGGCCTTGAGGCGGGTGGAGGACAGCTCGGAGATGAGGGAGTAGGTGACGGGCCCGACGGTGAAGTCGTAGACGAAGGTGAAGATGATGAGCATGGCAGCGATGGCCCAGACGGCGGCGTTGGCGCCGGAGAAGGAGAGACAGCCGACGATGAGGAGCAGGGTGAACTGCGCGCAGAGGCCGGAGAAGTGGATCGTCCGGCGGCCGAGCTTGTGCATGAGGTACCAGGAGCCGGCGGTGCCGACCATGCCGAGGGCGTACTGGCCCATGGAGAGGGAGAAGGAGTTGTTGGCGTCCATGCCGGCCTGGACGAGGAAGTAGGAGAAGTAGCCCATGAGGTTCTGGCCGCCGAGGGTCTGGACGAGCCAGATGCCGATGACGATCTCGGTGCGGCGCAGGTCGGTGCCGCGGAAGCAGTCGGCGTAGGTGACGCCCTCCTTGACGCGCTTCTCCATCTCGTTGGTGTGCTCGATCATGGCGATGGTCTCGTCCGGGTTGAAGTTGGGCTGGTTGCGGGAGGTGAGGCGGAGGAGGGACGCTCTGGCGGCGGGCTTGTTGTTGTGGCGGACGTACCACCAGGGGGATCTGAGGGGAGTTTGTTAGTGGGGGGGGGTTTGCCGGTGGGATGTAAGTGAATCCTCGGTGAGAGGAGGCGAGACTCACTCAGGGGCGAAGCAGACGCCGATGAGGATCGGGACGGGCCAGACCCATTGTACTGCGAAGGGGATGCGGTACGCCCATTCGTTGGCATGTTGGAAGGAGCCCTTGTTGACTGCAGCAGCAAAGAATTGACCAATTACCTGCACCTTTAGTTGCGTCCGTCTGAGAGTGGAAGGAGGAAGCTCACCCAGCACATGTTGATGAACGTCGTGAGGTAGGGTCTCAGGACGACGGGAGCGACCTCGGAGGCGTATGCGGGAGTCACGCTCTGGAAGGCGCCCCATGGGATTCCTGGCCATCATCAGAGATGAGAATTTACACAAGAGCATGCTCATAACTTACCACAAAGGACCTCTCCCAGCACCAAGATCTTCACGTTCGGCGCAAAGAACAGCACGAAAATGAAGGCAATCATCAACACCAGGAACCCGATGGTGGTCATCTTGTACCCGTACCGATCGGCGGTCCAACCGGCGAGGATAAGACCGATGATTTCTCCACCACGCGCACCGTTTGACAGCCCGGACTGCCATGCGGCGGAGAGAACATACTTGCCCTGGGCCTCGCTGTACGCTCCGTACTTTTGGTTGAAGTACTGCGAGGAGTAGAGGTTGGAGAGCAGGGCGAGGTCGTATCCTTCCATGATGAGAGTCGACGAGAGGAGGACGGACCAGGCGATGGCCTTGGGGTAGGTCTTGATGGCCTCCAGGAGGGTCATTTGGTGCTCCGAGTCGGCGGCCTGCTTTGCCTCGGCCGCAATATCTTCGGGATGGGCGGCATTCGGAGAAGCAGCGTCGGCGTGCTGGTGGACGCCCAGTTCCTTGTCCTCCGCCGAGGAGACGGGCTTTGAGTCGGACATTTTGGCAAGGTTTGAAGTGTCCTTTGAGATTGGCGGGAATATTGGGTGTAAAAGGAGAATAGATGAGACCGCGAGGCAAGAGATCGGGTTGCGCGGGAAGGAGTCGCCTGGAGGACGAATTTAATCGAACAGGGAGGGCATTCGCGCCTTTATTTATCCTCGCCGAAGGACACCATGAATGCAGGAGCTGAGGAGAAAGCGACAGCCAGAAGGAGGTGGTAGTCAAAGTAACATGGGGATCGAAGAAAAATTGGACAAGCACAAAAAACGCTAATTAGTAGAGAGTAACGAAAATGCCCAGGAATCTGCACCGTGCACCTCCAATGGGGGACGGGATGGGATGCCTGATGAGTCGACCGCGGGCTGCCGGCTCGTACAAGATTGGATTGGCGTGATACTGAAGTCCCAGGTTTTTGACGGCCGTCTGCAGACTTGTCGGTGCCAGTGTTCAGGAGTGCATTGTCTGTAGGTAAGTATTGTGTGTCTCTGTGTGCAGAGTGTGGTGATCTGGACATGGGTGCTGGAGTGGAATCGCCTGAGGAGAGCAAGAGCCGAAGCGGATGTGCATATGCACGGCCGGGGGCCCGTTGCTGGGCACGTCGACGGTCGAATGAATTGGCTTTTCCCAACTCCATGGGGGGAGACTGGATGCGTGGAACGCGTGTGGAATCGGCCGCCGAAAGACGAAAAACACTGTGAGTAGGTAAGTCGAAAGGGGATATTGTGGAGAAGCGGAGGATGAGGGGGATCGGGGTTGGTCGATGGACCGAGTCTCTGTGGGGTGGTCGGCAGCACACGAGATTGGGTGGTTCAAGTCGACAATGCTCTCGATATCCGCTTCTGATCAAGAACAACATCAACAGCTTCACTCGAGTAGGGATATGAGCCAGCCACCGGGTTCTAGGTCTGGTGATCGTGTTCCATGATTCACGCCAAGCTGCGCCCGGTTCCCATTCTGGAGACGGGATGCCAGCAGCACACGAGGGCGCAACAGGAGACTCCGCAAGTGACAGCTGCGGCCGTGTAAGCCCATGACGCTATTCGCATCTGACGAGGTTGAAACTAAATTGGCTTCCCCGCAGACGGGGACCACCATCTGAGCGGCTGAAATCCCTTAGGCCCCTGGGGTACGTCTCCGAGTTTTCGCAAAAGTTTCCTCAGATTCGGGTCGTCAGTTACACAAACCATTTCCAGGCCATCCACCTTTTTTCTCCAGACCCGGCCCCGAACCCGCCCATCACCGGTCTGGCCCCACTGAGGGATCCGCAGCATATGATTGGCGGGAAGCCCTGACGTGGGTGGCTCCCGGCAGAACAGGAGGCGCGGAGGGCGGTGCGGAGTCTAGCGGAGGTGCTCCGAACCCCAAATCCTCCCACTTTCAACCCCGACAGGGATGGCGGAGTCTCCGCGTCCTTTTTTCTTCAGGAAAACGTTCCTCCAACGTGCTTTTGCGACCCGTTCACGCATTCCAGCATCATCCGATGCCCGTCATCAGCGGGAAGGCGGAGTCTAATTGAGGCGATCCAAAACTTCGGGAGAGAAACGCGCTCATGCGCGCCGTGTGACACTCGCCTCAAACCTCCCCTCCTGCCCTCCGCTTTCTTCAACAGCGCCTCCCGCCCGCCGGCAACCACACCTCGGCAGGGTCTGGAGGGGGCAACCCATGGTCCATGGGGTAGCAGGGCGGGGAAAACCGCTGCCAGTTGTGATCGGAATCTCCACCGAGATTGGATCAAACTTATCAACCGACTCGACGATGCACCGCACCGCGTCTCTCTCTCTCCCCTTCGCGGCCCTTTTGCGGAGTGATTCCCACGAGGGGTAACCTGCTTCATGCACCACAGCTACTGACTACAGGAGCCCGCGCGCAGACGATTCAACCTCCCCACGCAATTCTTACTCTTCTGGTTCCTCGTTTCCCACTTTCGGATGCATGGGCCGCCATGTTGCCACGCCATTTGTCTGCCACTGCCGCTGATCGCGGTCGTCCACTTCCGACGACGCCTAGTCTTTCCGCGCCTGGTCAAAATGCCATTCTCTCCCGCCGCCGCGTCTGATCTTTGACTCCAGGTCACTCTCCCACCTTCTCTCGCCATTTGCCCCCTCATTCTCTCTTCGCCTCTCTCCTCTTTGCTTTCCGCCCTATGGCCGTGTGGCTTAACACAGAGTAACAGACACGCACCATGGGATCTCTCGTCTGGGACGACGAGAACCGCTGGGTGGGCAAGCAGCCCTGGTGGAAGGACGCAACCTTCTACCAAGTCTACCCAGCCAGCTTCAAGGACTCGGACGGCGACGGCTGGGGCGACCTCCCCGGCCTCATCGCCGAGGTCGACTACCTCCACGACCTCGGCGTCGACGTCGTCTGGGTCTCGCCCATCTTCGAGAGCCCCCAGAAAGACATGGGCTACGACGTCTCCGACTACCAAAAGATCTACGCCCCCTACGGCACCGTCGAGGACGTCGATACCCTCCTCAAAGAATGCCACGCCCGTGGCATGAAGGTCATCCTCGACCTCGTCGTCAACCACACCTCCGTCGAGCACGAGTGGTTCAAGCAGAGCCGCTCGTCGCGCGCCAACCCTAAGCGCGACTGGTACATCTGGAAGCCCGCCCGCTACGACGCCGACGGCGTCAGACACCCGCCGACCAACTGGCGCGGCTACTTCGCCGGCCCGACCTGGACCTGGGACGAGCAGTCGCAGGAGTACTACCTGCACCTATACGCTCCCGACCAGCCCGACCTCAACTGGGACAACGCCGCGTGCCGCGAGGCGATATACGAGGACACGATGCGCTTCTGGCTCGAGCGCGGCGTCGACGGGTTCCGCATCGATACGGTGAACAAGTACTCCAAGCGCACCGACTACGTCGACGCCCCCGTCACGGACCCGACATCGCCGCACCAGCCCGCGCCCGAGATGTGGTGCAACGGCCCGCGGATTCATGAGTTTATCCACGAGATGAACCGCAAGGTGCTTGCGCCGTATAATGCGGTGTCGGTTGGCGAGCTGTCGCTGACGCCGCACCCGTCGCAGGTGATCCCGTATGTGTCGGCTGCGGCGCAGGAGCTGGACATGGTGTTTGAGTTTTCCGTCATCCGGCTCGGGAACGGGAACGGGTTCGGGGGGAAGTACCTCTTCCAGCCGTTCCCGCTGTCGACATTGAAGAGTTACACTGCGACGTGGCAGTCATTCATTGAAGGGACGGATTCGTGGGCTACCGCCTTCTGCGAGAATCACGACAATGGGCGCGCGGTCTCGAGGTTTGGTGATGACTCGACGCCCGAGCTGTGGAAGGCTTCGTGTAAGACGATTGCTATCTGGCAGGCTACCATGTCCGGCACATTGTTCCTGTACCAGGGCCAGGAGATTGGCATGACCAATATGCCGGCCAGTTGGGGGATTGAGGAGTACAAGGACATTGAGAGCGGTAACTTTTACTCCGAGGCCCTGGAATCAGGCGACCAAGAGCGGATCGCAAAGACCATGGACGGGCTGCGCATCTTGGCGAGAGACCACGCGCGGATACCCTTCCAATGGGACGATAGTCCGAACGCCGGGTTCACGAAAGAGGGCGCCAAGCCGTGGATGCGAGTGCATGACGACTACAAGGCCATCAATGCCGCAAAGCAGCGTGGCGATCCGGATTCCATTCTCGAGTTTTACAAGAAAGTCCTCAAGATGAGGAGGCAGTACCGCGATATCTTCGTGTTCGGATCACATAAGCTGTTGGATCCCGAGAACGAGAAGACGTGGATCATATTGAAGGAGAGTGCTGCGCCGGTGAAAGGCCGTGAGGGCGTCAAGCGCAGGGCTCTTGTAGTGATGAATTTCTCCAAGGACGAGGAGAGCGCCGGAGATGTGGCGGCCATGCTCGGCTGTGACGCTGGTGAAGTCAAGCTGTTGATTGGCACGAGAGAGGGTGGCGAGCTGATTAAGGGGGTTGCGCCCGCATTGAAGGGATGGGAGGCGAGGGTTTATACCAATTTCGAGATTTAGAGCGATGTTCTGTGAAAGAACAAATAGACGATGATGTATTTGCGATATTGTCCTAAGTCATTTGGCGTATATTAAGTAGGTACTGTGCGCTGACGAAATGATCGAGTCGAAAGATCGCACACGTCAGTAGATCAAACCTGTGTCGATAGATGACGGCTTCAGGTTACCATTTCCCGAGACCTATGGGGCCGACGCAAGACCAATGCTTGTACGCCAACTTGTTATTCTCGACCTCGTCCACGATAGCCACGGCCATGTCCTCGTTGTAAATGCCGCCGTAGATGGCTTGATACCCCGGGCTGTCAAGCTCGTCCACATACACTTCGTACTTCCCAGTACGGATCCCTGGTAAGTCGAGTCAGCGCAAAACCCCGCATGTCTGAACTATTCCTCACTCACCTTTGTCTCTCAGCAACCACGGAGGCGACAGAAATGACCAAGACTTCTCAGTCACGCCTTCCCACAGGTGTAGAGCGACGCGCGATCCAGTAATTAGGCCCTTTGCGTCATGAGACGTCATGAACATGCGTGCGCGGGAGAGAAACAGGCGCGCAAAAGGGCGGAGAATCCAGGAGAACCCTGGAGTTCGTCAGCAAAAGTCCTGCCATAATGATCGGGGAACAGGTGAGGGGGGATCTCACATCCAGGATGCTCTATATTGTTGCGCGCCCATCTGAAGATCCGGGAGAAAACAGCTAGGGTTGTGCTGCCGTGGTCTGACGCCCGAGATATCATGTATCCGAGATGCTGGTCTGACCATTTATACCTATAATTCATTCAACGTCTCGCTCTGAACGTGAATCCGGCTGAACAGAAACATACCAAGCACCATAAGGGAAATCGGGTTCATCTGCAAAAGACGAGCCGTCTTTGTGGTGCAAAGAGCCCGCACCGCCTACAAATGTCCCACCCAAAGTCAGTATACTACCCATAGAAGTATGTCTTGCAGGGAAGCCTACCAATAACAATGAAAGAACCTCGATGATTCGATCGGAGTAGAGCAGACTTGATTCTCGCATGCGTCTCTACACATTCATAGTAGATCGCCCGCAAGTTCCCCAGGGGCGGCCCATACGCGCACACAATCGCGTCGTAACCGCGTGACAGCGCCGCCGAGAGCTCGTTGATGGAGTTGAAGTCGACAGACTCCGCCTTGTAGTCACCTGATGTCTGCCACTCACGGGGCGGATTGCGTGAGAGGCCAACAACGGAGTGGCCGCGAGACAGGAGCTCGTCGACGACGCAGGAGCCGCATTGCCCCTTAGGACCAAGAACGGCAACCCTGAGCCTTTTGGTGGTAGACATGACGAGAAGGTCTTGGCAGGTCTAAGTGATTTAAGGTTGTGATAGAGTTCGGGGCTGCAACTCTCCCATATTGATGGCGATCATTTTATAACGGATTCTTCGAACTAACTTGACCATCGCGCGAAGTGACGGAGCGGCGCCACCCGGTTCTTCGGGGCTTGCTGAACCCCGGATTTTTCCCAATCTGCTCGCTTTTGGCAGTATTCGGACATGGATACTAGGCTCGGGGAATTTTTATCGGAGTGTGCGGGAACAGTTCCGATTGAGTCTCCGGGAATCGTGTCCCTAGGACCTGTTCTGGATCCATGCATGCAGTGGTCACTACGCAGTACATTATGAGGAGTTGTGACGGGGCGCACCTGTTACCTGAAAACTAAATAGATTTGATAGACGTCTCCCCGCACTCACACGAATTTGCGGCGCAAGACGGTTCGACGCAATTGTTTTACAAAACTTAACAATATGTCCCGGCACTTTTTTCGGCTCCTGTGTCTCTATATTTCTTCTTTCTTTTGACCGCGGCGTCTCGGCGCGGAGTCTAAGAAAACCCCGACCTGTGTTTCGCTGTCGGGCTCAACTGCCATTTTGAGGAATCCTTTTCCCGACATGGACATTACCCATTACGTTACCGTCTTTGAACGTTGAACATCGAACGTCATCCCGAGGCTTTCGCATCATTCGTGTCATTCGCGACTTAAAAGAGGTGCAAAGCGATGCCGTACTTAGCTGGCACGAATGTTTTTCACGACATCGCTTGTTTTTGCCATGCTTCTGGCTGTGTGCCCTCGCTACAGTCCCATATTCAATTCAACACATTGTCGTATTCGCCATGAACCAAGAACAGTTTGAGAAGGAACTCGCGCGCCAACTCGAGATCAAAGACCAAGCGCTGCGTCTTACCCGATATAAAAATGGCATATCAATCGACAGCAAGAAGGCGAGATTCCCAGGTTTCCGCCAACAGAAGCGCAATTTCAAGGCCGGACAGCAAGTTGAGCCGGGTGCGCTTCATCTGAGTGAGGACCTGGTGATGCATGAAAGCGTGCCCATGCAGCTGGATGACGGCACCACTCTTTACAGCGACATTTTCCTCCCGGCAAGTTTCCAAGATCTGGACTCAAGATACGCCGATCCGGTACCAGCGCTGGTGGCATGGTATGTTTCCGGGTGCTGTATTGTTGCGTTTGGAATTAATCGTCATCAATAGGAGTCCCTACGGAAAGCAAAAGGGCACAACGCTGCTGGACGATTTTCCATTCCGCGCTGGCGTCCTCAAAGAGCGACTGTCCGGCTTGCAGAAATGGGAAGGCCCGGATCCCGACTTTTGGTGCCCGCGAAATTACGCAGTCATCAACGTCGATACGAGGGGTGCGTATTCATCCGAAGGCGATCTCCTCATCATGGGTCACCAGGAGGCTCAGGACGGTGCCTCGTTCATCACTTGGGTTTCGAAACAGCCCTGGTGTAACGGTAAAGTAGCTTTGACTGGGAATAGTTGGCTGGCTATAGCTCAGTGGCGTATCGGAAGTATGCGTCCACCGGGACTGGCTGCACTCGCCCCATGGTCAGCTTTCTTATATGCACTCAGAGGGCAGATCTAGCTAAGACCATGAACAGGGAAGGCTTTTCCGACTTCTATCGACACCACATGTTTAGCGGCGGAATTCTGTTTCCGGGTTTTCACGAATCAATTTCCAGTGAGCTCTTTTCAAGTGATATACATGTCGTTATTGACAGTCTGCTTATTGGTGTAACCTCCAGACACTCTGGCGACGCAAGGAAAGCTAGAAGACATCACATCTCACGGTCGAGAGCATCAACTCTACGATGCGTACTGGGAGGACAAGATTGCCCACCCAGAGCGTATCAACGTGCCAGTCTATGCTGCTGCCTCATGGACGAACCCTGTTCACACCCCGGGAACCTTCGAGGCGTGGGAAGCCGTTCCGGACACCGTTCCCAAGTGGCTCAGAATCCACAACTCCCAGGAATGGCCCGACTACTACGAGGATTGCAACCAAAAAGACCTACTACGCTTCTTCGACCGTTACCTGAAAACTCAAAAGAACGACTGGGAGACCACGCCCAAAGTCCGTCTCAGCGTGCTTCATTTCGGCTTGGTGAACCAACAGGATACGGTTGCACGCCCAGAGGCCGACTTCCCCCTGGCGAGGACGCGATACACCAAACTCTTCTTGCAGGGAAACAACACTCTGTCACTCGATCCTGAAGCCGCTGAATCTGCGTTGCCCTATGATTCCCAATCTGGAAAACAGACTTTCCTCTACCAATTCGATAAGGCTTGCGAGACGACTGGGTATTTCTGCGCACATCTTGTGATGTCGTGTCCGGAGCATACGGACATGGATGTCTTTGTACAAGTTGAGAAGCTGTCGGCTTTAAAAAGGCCCCAGGCTGTGCAGACGATCAAGCCTCAGAATGTTGTATTGCAACGACTTTTGAAGTTCATGCACGACTGGAATATCCTTCCTGGTGGTGCCGGTATGGCCTTTCACCGGGGGCCCAGTGGATGTCTGCGTGGCAGCTTTGCCTTGAGCCGCGATGAACAGCGCAGCAAGGTATACAAACCGCATTACACATTCACGGAGAAGATAAGCCTTAAGAAGGGTGAAAGGCGAACTCTCGATATCCCAATGAGCCCTAGTGGCATGTTCTGGGAGGTAAGTCACAGCACGGCTCAAGCTAGACACAAGCATATGCTAACAAATGTCTTGAATTTTATAGAAGGCGGATCATCTTCGGCTTACGATACAAGGCAGTGCGGTTGTCCCATTTGCTTTGCCAGGGTTGGAGATGCACTCTACTGACAACAAGGGCTTGCATGTGGTTCACTGCGGCGGGGATGGTGAGGAAAGCTCGCACCTGTTGATCCCAGTTGTGCAGTCATAGTGGTCTCAGACCACCCAATTTATGTTCAATCTAGAGGAGTTGAGAGAAGAAACGTCGCGACATTAGCATACCATGGGCGAAGGTGGCGCTGAGTGCGGTACGCAGCCAGTAAAAGACGGTCGGCGCCGATTTGGTATTGAAAGAGGTTTACCGGTTCGAGTTTCAAAGCCCACGTGTTGGGGAGGCAAAATTTTCGTCATGGAGGGCGGCATGGCTTTTATAGACTCCCAGCAATGATCGGTGGCAGCCACATGGCTGAGCTACCTTAGAACCGTCCGCGTGTCTTTCCGTTTGCGAACAGCTGCGCGCGCTGCGATCGTCAAGCATTCATCGGCATTTCACCAACGACAGAGAACAAAGAGAAAGAATAGGGGAAAGCTCTCATAGTCGTACGGGAAAATTGCCACATTTTAAAATCCAGCTCATATTTCCTGTTATCTGCAGCCAAAGACCAATCCTTTATCATCAGGCCCCAGAGAAGCGGGCATTTACGGTCTTCGTACGGCCGGCCATCCACTCTCAAAACTCTCATCCGCTGCTATCTGTTGCTTGGTCTCAAACCTTCTTTCCCAGAACAGGAAACGAAATCAGAACGAAAATTAGCACAGACGAGAATGAGGTCCTCCCATTTGTTCGCCCTCCTGGTGGGCTGCTTTGCGATCCTAGCCGGTGCCAGCCCAAGTATTTCGGACTACCCTCCATGCGCAGTACGCCTTTCATACTCCCAGCATCCCCATTTTGACCGGAGAATAACTAATTTCTGCTACATAGGTTGCCTGTATTATTGATGCGCTGCCTCAGTCGCCATGTTCTGGGTTGAACCAGACCTGCCTCTGCGCCGACCCAGTCTTCAACGAGGAAGTATCAGGTTGTGTGAAGCAAGGCTGCACTGTCAGCGAAGCTCTCAGTAAGATAATAACTTGATAGCATTCATGAAATTCACTTTCTCACCGTCAATCTAGATGTCGCAAACATGACTTGGGCGGACTGCGGCTTTCCGTTGACAGATAATACAGCTATACCGCGATACCTTACAGGATTTCTCTTCATTTTGCCCGTCACTTTTATATCCATTCGGTTTCTGAACAAAGCCATAAGCCCTACTCCATGGGGTGCTGATGACGCTTGCGCTCTGGCTGGTTTCGTAAGTGATCCGTACTCAGTCGTCAGTGTCGCTCACGAGACCAACACCTAGCAGGCATGTGCAGCAGCAATGATTCCCATTGTCTATCGACGTGAGTAGAACAAGATACCTTTCTCGGCCATGGCCACAGCTGACCATCTTGGTAGTGCTGGCCCTCGGACTTGGTAGAGACATCTGGACTCTCCAACCTTACAAGATTACCGAATTCCTCAAAGTACGATGGCACCCGGACCATTCATGTTTCCATGCCCAAAGCTAAAGTCTCGCAGCTGGTATTTACCACCCAAATATTCTATATTACTGGCCTGGCTACTATCAAAGCCTCCATGTTGTTTTTCTATCTTCGAGTATTCCCATCAGTTCCTTTCCGACGCCTCTTGTGGGCCACGCAAGGTTTCAACGCCTTGATCGTTTTCTTATATATCGTCCTCACCTTTTCTCAATGCCGTCCATTGCAGAAATATTGGCTGGGATGGTCTGGCGATCAGCCGGGCGTTTGCATGGATTTCAACCTGCTGGTTCTGACACACGTCGGCTTCAACATCGCTTTGGACATCTGGATGCTCATCCTGCCGCTCACGCAGCTGTACAAATTGAAATTGGGATTGAAGAAGAAGATTGGAGTGATTATGATGTTTAGCGTGGGGTTGTTGTAAGTGAAAGTCAGCCCTGGAGTATTGGACCATTGCTCACCACGCCTACAGTCTCACTGCAGTCAGTGCCCTCAGGATCCAGGTCGTGGCTCACTTTGCGACTACAAACAACATCACATGTAAGAAGCGCGTTTCCACCCATTATCGCGGTTATCACTAAGGATTTTTACTGCAGCCGAAGCACTGTGGATGTATGTCTGGTCACTGGCGGAACTCGATGTGGGGGTGTTTGTGGCATGTATGCCTAGCGCAAGTCAACTCTGGAGGCGCATGTTTTCGAAGACCACGAATCGGTCTAGTATGATACAGCACGGAGAACGATCCCGGTCATCGAAGAAACCACCGAACTCTAAAGACCTTCTGCTTAGGTCAACAGCAAACTCGTCTGTGGTCGATCAGTCATTCAAATAGATGGATCATGGTCTTGGGAAGGTCACGTACGCAAACAAGGTATTTGCAACTGTGACTCTAGATTTTAACGTTGGTTCTAAAAGTACCCTAATATACAAATTTAAATTCGATTGATCAATCCATGGGTTGCACCCGTGGCCTGGCTTCAATAATCTGAACTGACACTGGGTTCAGCATTTTATCAGGAAAATCCAAACTCTTGCTCATCTAGGACTTCTCTGAGACGTTCGCGACCGTCCAAGCTGTCCTTTCCGATGAATGTGGCGATGTATTCACTCCAGATCCTTCCTTGGAGTTGGTATTGGCGCTCGTAGAAGGACCCAAGTGTCTGATCATAAGAAGAAACCCGTTCCTCTTGGCCCTCGGCATGCCAAAACTCTCTGTGCAGTACTTCATTCAATGGCAACCTGGGCTTAATCGCGTTCAAAGAACTTTGATCAGGCTTTCCAACAGTCATTCCAAACAGCGCAATAACACGAGGTGGAAGCTCCAAGAGCTCCGTGAGCTTAGCCGCATTGTTTCGAGTAGCTCCGACGTAGCACATGCCGAGATTCAGTGACTCAGCCGCAACGGCCATGTTCTGGGCTGCCAGAGCTGCGTCGATAGACGCCATGACGAACATGTCCATTTTTTCAAGAGCAGGGCTCGGTTGCTGCAGACGCTTTGAGTTGTTCGCGAGGCGATTGAGGTCGGCGCAGAAAATAATGAACAAAGGTGCCTGACGTATGAAGTCTTGATCGCCGGCAAGAGTTGCAACCTGGGTCTTGCGGACTGGGTCGGTTATGGCAACTGCGCTCCAGGTTTGGAGCATCGAAGAGGTGGATGCGCTCTGGCCAGCTGCAATGAGGCTTTCGAGAGTGCCATCGGGGAGCGCGTCTGGGAGGTAGGAGCGGACGGATGTGTGGCTAAGAAGAAGATCAAACGTAGGAGACCATGGCGAGTTTCTCATGCCATCCGGTAGTCGATGTCCATATCTCTGTTGAAGTAGCTGGGGCTGGTCCTCGTTCATTCTGGGCATGTGGCCTGAAAGGGGGTAATGGAAGATATAAAGTAGATCAAGGAAGCCCGCAACTAGAAAAAAACAAACTCCCTCAACGTGCGCGTATATTGATGCCAACCGAGTTGCTTTGTCGTTCTATATCCCGCCAGGATCAAATTTCAAACTTTCGTATGTATTTGTATTTATACTATACTTTTCGCAGTAGCGTGATGAATAACAACGTTGTTATATTCAAAAACATCCATTAGAACATCAGATCCACACCTTTGTCACGTATGTAAAGAGCAGTACATGCAGACGGCCTTCCATATTCAGCAATTCACCCAATCACTGATATTACCGAGTGGCATGCGTAGTACAGCCAATGATTAGTATTTCCGAGGACCACTTTAGGAAATATTCGAACGCCAAGCTTCGACTACGGAGAGTTGTAATAGCCCGCAGTGGGTATCCTAAAGAGGAGATGGCACGAGATCTACCTCTGGCTTCTCGCTTGGGCAATCAAGGCTTGAAAATGACAAATCATCTCTTACAAATCATGCTGATATTACCAATGGGTTTCGTAAACACCACCTCTGGTCTCTTCTTGAAAGTGGCTAGCTATATGGTCTAGATAACACATTTCAGAATTAAAGTTGTCTGAGATGTTGAGAAGCGGCACAAAACTTCAGAACATCCTGCTTCTCAACATCTCAGACAACTTTAATTCTGAAATGTGGTAATCACGGTTTCTAGGATACACGTCGGCCTTTCTGTCGTGACAATGGGAATTGGTCGACAGGAGTGCACAAGAAGTGAACATTAGGGATAGCGCAGACCGACTCCTTATGAAAGTTCACATGCTAACTTGTCTAGCAATTATGACGATATATATATCTATGTCTTGCATTCAATGAGTGAAGAGCTGTGACTCAACTCTCTCAAATGTCATCTGCTCGCCTCCAATGGCGGCTTCCACACTCATCGCTTTTCCATCCTCAATAGTCAAGATAAATTCATCCTCACCATCAACAAAGCCGATGTCCATCCAAGAATACTGGTTGTCGAACAACCCGCCAGTACCGCCTTCTGACGCAGCTCGGGCCGGAAAAGGGACTCCATACATAATCCCACGAAGCGCGGCTCTGAAGGTGCCCTTAGTGTTGTACAGAGCGGAGAGAGACCTGGAGCTGGAGTACATGCCGGATGGGTAGAGACGCATTGAGCCCCCAGCTAGCGACTCCAATGAGGCTGATTGGATGCCTAAGCCCGGGTGACCGTCGTCGATGGTAAGAGTGATGTTTCTTCCATCTGGAGTCTCAAAAATACCAGCAATATTCTGTTTCGCATTCTCGGCGGCAGCGGCCTCGGCTGCTGGGATAAACAACTCGCCAATTATGTCGCGAATCACCCAGCGAGCAGCGCCGGAGGTAATACCAGCCACCAAGATTGAGAATCCAATGCCGTGGTCGGGAGAGAGCGCAAAAATGCATCCATAATCACCATTCCCGCCGGCTTTGATGTACAAATCAGAGATGCGGGTGCGGTTCGATCCCGGCGTGGCAGGGATCGCGAGACGGGTGATCTCCCAGGGTGCGCCGACAAGCTCGATAAGTGTACCGGTCCCACTAAAGGGCTTCATCCACTGCGAGGTAGTGGCTGGCGAAAGCAGCTCTGAGTTGAGGATGGAGAGACCGAGAGTACGAAGGTCGGCAGCGTTGGAGTAAATTCCGCCGGATGGGTAGACAATAGGGACGTCAAGGCCATAGGACGTCACATCAGTGAAAAGCGCACGATTGATGGCGTTGACTTCAGTACCCTTGGGCACGCTAGCGGTTGTGCTGTTGAGTCCCAGAGGGTTGGCTAGGATATCTCGGACAGCATCCTCGTAAGTCTGGTTTGAGAGACGGGCGAGAACTTGACCGAGCAGAGCGAAACCCGAATCGGAGTAGACGGCATTCCGGAAGGGCGAAACCACTGGTCTTTTGTTGTCTCGCATGTAGGTGAAGAGATCTAGAGAAGTCAGTCAATGCGAGAGCCGCTGGCATGTAAGCTGTCGTACCTTCAGGAGTGATGGCAGCAAGCTCTTCAATCGTTGTTTTATTCAAAAGATCTGATTTACATGTCAGCAACAGTCGCTCGCAGAGATCCAATGGATTGCCTACTTGATGCTCCACCAGAGCCCGCTTGCTGTGCCGCCAACGCCCCGACAGTGATATCCTCCCAACGGACATGTTTGAGAGGATCGCCCGATGAGTTGCCCAAAAGCTCAGGAAGGTATTTCGTCACCGGGTGACTGAACACCTCAATTCCGGCTTTGGCAATGATGGCATAGACAGTGAAGAGCTTGCTCACACTGCCGATACGCCCAATAGTCTGGTCGTTGAGTACCCCGGCCGTCAAGCCCTGCTTTCCCTCATCTCCAGCGTGGAAGTAGCTATAGAGAGACTTATTGGTTGCGGCCGAGAACACGTCAACGGTGAATACGAGGTCCGTCTTGTTGAGAACATCGCTCTCAAAGAGAGTATCGATTATGGCGGGGAAAGATTCGGTGGCGTTGAGGACAGACCGAGCATTCGTCGGGTCAAAGTTGGAAAGAAATGAAGGACCGATGAGAGGAACTTCATCAGATGGAATGGTTGCTGCCGCTGCGGTTGCAGCTGAAGCCAGCAGACCGAGAAACACAGTGGAATTCATTTGAAGTGTAGTTTCGAAGAATCGGTTCGGTCGATATATTGAGAAGCTTATGATGAATTAAATTGTACTGATTGATTTATCTCCAACAATGCTCGCTCTTATATGCCATTGTGCATCTTAGTCAGACGTCACGATAATTGTTGTGCGCCCGAAGCTTACCTTGTGTACCAACAAATCTAACTGCCTTTGGCTCAGTCATGTTCTATCGCTTGCCTCGTTGGACAATTGACGTGCGGGCGATGCATGGCTGCCAAGGAAACGGTCGCAGAAGGATCACCTTCCAAAAGCGGATAATGAACGTTAGCGAGACTGCTATGTGATTGGATTATTCAAGTAAGAATACCCAAATGGGTAATTGGATGTCTACGGTGGCTGAGTCCAATTTCTCCCTACTAGCCCACGAATTGGGGGCTGAGTGCTGTGTCGTTCTGCAGGTCTACGCATGACTGGTTTCCCTTGCCCATTTCAGTGAGGCTGAGGAGAGTGAGCAGCGGCTCATCGATGAAGCTAGCTGTTCAGCAAGCAAGTCGCTCACAGCGGAGACCTGACGTAACTAGAAGGCTTTTGCTGTTGCTGTGCCTCAGATCAAGGCATATTATCTGAGCTAGCTTTCATGCTTTGAGCTTCAATGATGTTGTCTGTTGCATGCTAACCCGTATGATGCTGTGTTGTATGTTATCGGGAATGTGCAAGTTGACCTCATGGAAGTCGATATGGTCTTGAACGTCGACTCTTCAGAGAGACCGTTATGATTCGCAACAGGGTGACTTTTCTGCGTCAGATTTCTCATGTAGCAGTACTGTTGATTCAAGGTGACCATTTGAGAGCTGTAGGGTGCATCACGGAACAGGCTCTTCACCAAACCCTAGGTAGCGAAAGTTCTGACAAGGTCGACGAACAGCAATTGATGCAGAGTGAATAGAACTTACATGATGGGGCACCCTGTGTATTGGATTCTAGACTAGAGACTAGACTGCCAATGACCTTTCTCTTGCGATCTCATCGTCGAAACCGACATACCGCCACCTGTTGCGCCGTCCAACTCTCGCTTCATGATGGTCACAGTCGCGCGCGCCCTCAATCTGGATATACATAGGCATCCATCCTAGCCTGAAGCTGCTCGAAAGCAACTTTGTTGTCCTTGACGTAAAGATAATCCGCCAAGTCTATCCAGAACTGTTCATCAACGTCACTAAAACCCGGGTTATACTTCTCAGGGTTGGCTCTCCCAGAAAGGCAATGAATTCGGAGTGCGGTCCATCGCAGCTCCAGAGCTGTCCAGTTGGGAAGCTCTTGGGGGTCTTGGGCCCAGATCCGAATTAGCTCGCCATTCTTGGGAAGGACTGAAAGGCCTTCCAACTCTTCGTAAAGCTCCTCCCAAGATTCCTGTAGGTCTCGCGGGTCAGTGTCCAGGGGAGGTGCCGAGTCCATCAAGCTTGACAAGGTCGTCGTTTTGAGAAGCCATCGAACACGAAGGACGATTCCGTACTCTTTTCCAGCATCGATGTCACTCTCCTGTAGTCGCCGTCCCTCGTTGAAAAGATCCGACGCCTCGTCATCGTTCGCGTCTGGCGTCCTGGCTTTGACAGTGGCCTCTTGAGTCGATGGCATGCTATCGGTATGCGCTGTCGTTGCAGTTGAGTCGGAGATGCTGGTTGAGGCGACGATCGAAGAAAGCTCAGAGACTTCTCCAGCAACCTTGCTTCGCCGGCAGTAACCCACGGGCTCAAAGGTAAACAGTCCCTTCTCCCAACACTGACGCATCTGCCCACTGAGACAAATCATGTTACAACACTTGTCCACGATATTACGCTCCGCAACTCTGTTCTCCCTGTTTCTGTCCTGGGACATGAATTTGTTCCTGACATAGGCAACAGTATAGGTCCAAATAGAGCGTCCCAGGAGGATACAGTTTTATTCATTGTGTAGTGCCATTTGAGTGTCCAAAGTGGCACAATATGACAGGCCTCGTCAGCCGGGTTGTGTGTGGCCACACAGAGACCTTGGTCGCGCATGATGACCTGAAGAGCGGTTAGCTACAGTATATTTTTGTCTTTCGGACGATATAGAACCTTATTCTTCTCAGCTTCATTGCGAATAACAACGCGGCCTTGGTCCCACGGCTCGGCCGGGTCTCTTCCAACTGGAGAAATGTCAGTATACGCTTACGAGACTTCGAGAAGAGCGACTTACACCAATACACAAGCTCTCCCGCATACATCAGACATTCAATGAGGTCTGAGTAACAACGTTTCTGGTCATTTGAATGGAGACGCTCATTGAGGTACCTGAGTTGCTTGATGTCCATGACCATGAGCGTACACCAACATACCGCCTGCTCCAGAAACTTGAGATCATTCTCGAACCGCATACCATCAAGACCCGGATCTGATTGACAGACTGTAAGGACACTTTTGATTAGTCGCTGTCGTTCTGTTAAGTCGTCGTCAACATAGTCGATCCGGGCGCCTAGAATGCTCTCGGGAGGCTCGTTAGTGACGTCCATGTCGCGAGAATTGACAATTTTGACGGAGGGTTTGCGAAACTTGCAGGAAATTTCCCTTCTGTACTTGGCAAACTACTTTTAAAGGATGTGAAAGGATTCGGGGATACGACCTTGCTAAATCACCGTCCAGGTCGGATTACCTAGTACGCACGTAATCATAATAAGCAGCACCACTCACACATAGCACACAAGGGACCTATGCGAAGAAAGACGGCCCTCACAGGTGGTTCATATTGACTTTTCCTTTAGGTTTCAAGTACCAAAGGGCCGTTTCTGTTATCATTATTGTCACTATCATTGTCCCCCCGCATTGGAATATTCGTAGGTATTCGTGGAATACCTCGTGGATAAGACCATCTCCATAAACAGCTCTTGCCTGAGGCCTTCTCTGTCGTTTACAACTCGACGAGAGAAGTTCTCGTCGTTGTCAGTCCAGTGGGGGTTGTAGATCTCAGGGTCAACATCTCCTCCCAAGCGGAGAACCCTGAGAGCAAACCACTGAAGTTGCAACGCGTCCCAATTGGGTAGTTCATCCGGGGTCTTTGCCCAGATCCTGATGATACGTCCGTTGGTAACCGGACGACCTGAAAATGCATGGTGTTTCGACTTGGAGTTGTCGAGGGGTGCCTGTATGTCGCGTGGATTCGTGTCCAAGGGGGGGCTCTCCGCGTTAAGGCTGGTCAGGGTCGTGGCAGGTAGCCAATGGAAGCGGAGCACGATGCCGTACTCGGACCCATCGTCAATGTCCTGCTTGAGAAGCGGGCGTCCCTTGCTGAATGTTTCGGGCACTTTGCCCTTCTCATCTGTCCGCGGCTTCTCGGAGTCGTTGTCGAGGTCCATGCCGACTTTACTTGACTGTTTGCTGGAAACATTGTGCGTCGTGACTGGTTCCGTGTCGGAGGCAGAGGTGAATATCGACGACAGCTTTGCATCGATTGTCTCGTCCTCCTCGCTACCAGTGCCATCAAGATCGAGTTCACTGAGCTTCGCGTCCATGACTTCCCAAGAGTCCTCAGAGCCCTTCAGCCTTCGGCAGTGGCCCACGGGCTCTAGACCAAAAAGTCCCCTCTCCCAGGACCGACGCAACTCCGGGCTGAGGCACAGCATGTTGGAACATTTGTCCACGATATTGTTCTCGCCCGGCGCCGTGTTATCGTCGTTTCTAGAAGCGAAGCTAGTTTCAAGCCGGGCAGAGACATCGAAATCAAAGAGGATTCTCACGAGTGACAGCAGTCCGTCGATCATTGATGACCTGTTCACCGTCCAGAAGGGCACGATGGGGCACACTTCGCAAATTGCCCGCGTGAACAAGCAGCGTCCTCCATCACGCTTCAAGGCCTGTCACATGGTTACCTTCTCCAATCCACCAAATGATATCTTGGCAATCCACGTACCTTCTGTCTTTCGGCCTCGCTGCGACTATGCCAATGTTCGCTGGGCTTCGTTGGTCTTTCTGTGACTGCAAACTCGTTAGCTAATGATCATTCGTTCAAGCAAATGAATTGGTGACTCACACCACCAAACTAGCTTATGAATGTGCCTGAGCATGTCGATGAATTCACGGTAGGTATCGCGCTTGCTGATCGGGTTCTGAAGTTTCTCGTCAATTCCCTTCAAGAGGTCAAGGTCCGTCGCCGTTAGTGTACACCATCCTCTCGCTTGGCCCAACAACTTGACGCGCTCCGCAGTACGAGAACTTGCGAAGTCCGGGTCCGAGAGACAGTTGTGTAAAATTCTCTGGACAAGCTCCTGCCGTTCAGTTAGGTCTACTTCGTCGAAGTGATCTCATCTTCCACGCATGGTGTCGTCGATGGTGTCCGTGACGATTTCTAACTTATGCGTCGGAATAAGCCCTCAGTATCGCGGAGCACTGGATGATAGAGACGGTCGGCGCGACTGCGGAATTATAGTTACTTCTGATGGATGCGCTTGATGGCTGTCTCAGTAATGAGTGTAGTAGCACCTTTGTGTTCGATACCTCTTGGGTTATTTCCAGCAGGGTTGCTTGGTCCCCTTTTCCATACTTGTACTATGCTAGGCGGGCAGTGTCTATTATTGTCATCTATCATCCTCGTCCATCGTCATCGTCCATCGTCGTCGTCCATCGTCGTTATCCTTATTACTACTCCTATCGTTTTCTTAACTACTGTCGTCCTTATACGAATAGAAGTATTAGGTACAATACTCAAGATTGTAGGGTACACCTCGGGTAGCCGACTGACACTACCCGGCTGGCAAAGCTCTACAATATAGGCGTCCCCGCAACCTCCGCCACAGACAACCACCAACCGGCATAATCAGACGTTGAAAGTCGCTCAGGTCGTTCTATTGGCAGCGTCCCATGTTATCTCAACGAGCTCTTGAATGCGAGAATCATCATCTCCTAGTACTTGAAAGCCCCGATTCTTAGCAAAGTCGCTCCAATACGGGTCGTAAGTCTCGGAATCTGCGAACTTCTAGCTAAAGACACGTACGTTGGATGAGCGAGACAACAGCTTACATCATCAGACAAGCTGTTCCACGAACATGAGGCAGTTCGTGACATCTCTGAAAGCTCGAATCCTATGGGCTGGATCCCTTAATTTCGCGTTAAGGTCCTTGAGAAGAGCAATGTCCCTCACCAACAGCAAGCACCTAGATACAGCGTTGTTCAGTACTTTGAGCTGTAGCTGGCGACGCCATCCGCCTCGAGATGGCTCCGAGTCACAGGTCTGAAGAACAGTGTCCAGAAGTTGCTTCCGTTCGGACAAGTCCGCCTCACTGAGGTAATCGAGCCACTCGTGAATGATGCTCTCAATCGTCGCGGTCATGCGTGTTATGTTGCGCTCGATTAAGCGTCAGAAGTAGTGGAAGACAATGGTGACATCGCGGGTGGTCGCTGAGGTCGACGCGGCGGCACAAGAACTCTATGCAGGTTTTGTTGGGTCCGCAAGGGTTGCAAGGTAGATTGACCATGAGCCATAGGCTACACTTACCCGCGGAGGACAGCTGCGATCATCAGAACCTTGAGGGTTTTGGCGTGGACTGGCGCTTAGAATTTAAAAAAGGAAAATCGTTGATAGTATCGGGAATCATCCAGGCAGTATGTCCTGGCAGTCTATGTACCTATCTACAGACATCAAGAAATGGGGTCTCGTCCACTCATCACTCATTAACAGCCCTTCCTTTTTTCCGGGGGCACCAAACTCCATTTTGTCCATCCCTACTTTTTTGTAACCTTCGCTTACTGAAGCGCCTGAGCAAGCTTCTGCACCAACTGGCGGGTCTCGGGCTCCAACTGCTCCTCAGGGGGGCCGAGGACGGTCTGCAGCACGGGAATGATCTTGTTGGTGAGCTGCTGAACCGTGGGGTTCTGCTGGTCGTACAGCTTGTAGATGGCCTGGTAGATGGGGGCGTTCTCCTCGAAGTCCTCCTTGAGGGGCAGGACGCCGACGACGGCGGGGAGGACGCGCTCGACGAACTCGGGGTTGGGGTTGGTCATGATCATGCGGCAGATGCAGCCGGAGACGTTGTCAACCATGCGCGACTCCTGGATCGACAGGAGGGGCTCAAGCTTCTGGAGGATGGCGGGGTAGTGGGGGATGGTCTTGTCGGTGGCGGTGGAGTTGAAGATGAGCTGGCCGGTGGCGTAGGCGGCGTTGGACTTGGCCAGAGGGTCGGAGTCGGTGAGGCGGTGGTTGAGGATGGGGAGGAGGCCGTCGGTGAAGGGGGTGACGGCGTTGCCCATGTACTTGATGGCCTCGGCGATGACACCGACGGAGGTGGAGCGCTCGAGGTTCTCCTGGGAGCTGGCGAACTTGAGGATGGGCTTCTCGAAGACCTTCCACATCTCGGCGAAGTCGGGGCCGAGGGCGGTGGCGAGGCCGAGGATGACATCCATGGCGGTGTCAATAACAAGCCAGTCAAGCTCGGAAGAGCCCTCAGCCTCCTGCTCCTCCTCGTCGCCCATGTCCTGCTGGCAGGGGTGGGAGCGGGTGATCAGGCAGCCAAGGACAGTAACGGAGTCCTTGAGCAGGTCATCGTGGGTGAGGATGGCGGGACCGCAAGCCTTGAGGGTAGCGGCGATGTTGCGGTTGATCTCGGTGATGACATCACTATGAATTCTTTAGCAATCATTGTCATCACAGGCTTGGCTGATGAAAGTAGTAGATTGCCCATTGAATCAGACGTGATCAAACGTGTTCTCAGCACCCGCACTTTGTGCGTCTGAGTGAGCTGGGTATAACGTGTGTTACTCATCCTTTTGGGGCGGGGGAATTTCAAGACAGAATTTGAGAAATGACAGAATACATACCGCTCAGTGTCCTCGGCCCAGATGTTGTTGGTGGACTTGACGACGAGCTCGCCAAGCTTGACCAGGACGGCATCGGGCTGCTGCTTAAGAGGAATGCCGGCCTCCCACTTGGCACCAGTCTGCTCCTCGAAGAGTTGCCAGACGCGGGCGTACGAGCGCCAGAGGGTAGAGATGGCAGCCTTGCGGGCACCGTCGTAGGGGTGCTCGGCAAGAGGAGCGATGCGCTCGACAGCCTTGTCAAGGTACTCCTTGATGGCGTTGGCGTCGCAAGAGTGGGTGATGACGTCGCCGAGGACCTCAAGAGCAATCTCCTGCTCAAGGGCGACAGCGGTGACACCAGAGTAGTCGTCCATATCGTCCCACTCGTCCTCATCGTCGTCCTCCATCTCGTCCTCGGTGGACTTGACACGGATCTTCTTGCCGTTGGCAATGAGAAGACCCTCAGGAAGATCCTCAGGCTTGAGGCCTGGGATGTTGACATCCTCCTCGTCGAGCTCGAGGCAGTCGAAGAGACCCTTGAAGACACCGGGGAGGAAGTGAGAGAACTCGTTGCCGTAGACCTTGGACAGAGAAGCCCAGAGGATGAAGCTGGTCTCCTTGAGACGGGCGTTGTCGAGGCTGAGAGCCTCCTCGCTGGCCTTCATCAGGTCCATGACGTAGGGCTGGAACTCCTGGGCACCGACGGCGTCGGCAATGCGGCCCATGGAGTCGCAGACGGAGGAGCGGAGAGCAAGAGCCTCCTCGCTGTCCTTGATGTTGACGTACTGGCCAAGAGCGCCCATGACCTCCTTGAAGTAGGGCTTGAACTCCTCGCCACCGAGAGCGGAGGCGATGGCACCGATGGCACCGGCAGCAGCGGACTTGACGCTGAAGTCGTCGTGGGCGAGCAGCTTGCCCATGGGGACGATCAGCTTGGGGCCGAAGGTCTTGATGAGCTGGTCGTCGAGACCCTCGCCAATGAGGGAGTCGAGAGCACCGCAGGCGGCACGGATGATGCTGATGCTCTGCTTATCAGAGCCAGCAGAGGCAGCCTCGAGGTTGGTGAGGAGAGCGCTGATGAGAGCCTCGTGCTGAGGAGCGAGCTCCTCGGCCATCTCGTCGGCGAGGTGGATGACACCGACGAGAGCGGCGTGGCGAACAGAGCTGTCCTGGTCGTTCAAGAGCTGGATGATCTGGGGCATCAAAGGCTGGAGCTGGGTAGCGATGAAGTCGGGAGCACCCTCAGCGGCGGTACCGAGAGAGAGGATAGCAGACTTGCGCAGACCGGGCTGCGGGCTCTGGGCGAAGGTAGGGAACTGCTCAAGCAAGGGAACGATAACCTGACGGGGAGGGAGGTCGCTGGCCAGCTGGTCGATGAGGCTCAGAGCGGTTCTAGCGGGAGAGCTGTCATCCTCGTCGGCGTCGTTGTCGATCTCGGCGACGATCTGCATGCTCTTGACCATGAGCAGGGCGCCCATGTCCTTCATGCCCTGGATCTTGAGGCGGCGGTACCTGGCGCTCTGAGCGAGGAAAACGAGAGCCTGGGAACGGGCATCGTCCTCAACCTCGGTGTTGACACCGAGCTCGATCATGAACTGGACGAGGTCCTTGAAGTGGTTGGCGAGGTAGGCAGAGTCGTAGGTCATGAAGTTCTGGAGGACCTCGAAGATGTCGTTGTACTGGTCATCGTTGCCCTGGTCGATGGCGTTCTTGAGGATCTCAACGGTGGGCTGGATCATGGTCTGGATGATCTCAACGCACTCGGTGTTGTCCTCCTCAACGTCGACAAGCGCCAACAGAGCGCTGACAGCCTTGGCCGAGTTCAGGCGGACCTCAATGCTGGCAGGGTCGACAATGGTCTTGGCGATCAAGCTGAGCAGAGCCTTGACCTGCTCAACGAAGGGAAGAGGGTCGTTCTCGAGCAGGCAGACAAGGATGAAGGAGCCAATCTCGCGGTGGGCGACGTTGTCGGAGGTGTTCAGGGCGAGGAGCTCGCGAACGAAGTCCTGGCCCTCGCCATCCTCGAGGTCAACGCCGACGGCACCGGCGAGAAGACGCGACTTGGAGTGGCGGGAGGTAGAGGACTGGTCGTTCAGGATGCTCTCGGTGAGGTGCTTCTTGGCGAGCTCCTTCTTGTCAGAAGGGAGCTTGGCCCAGTGCCTGGGGGTCAGGCGCAGAGCCTGCACCGAGGCGAGCTGTCGGATGCCGGCATCTTCGTGGGAGATGGTGACCTCAATCAAGAGGAGGAGGGACTCGGGCTGGGAGTAGTAGTTCTTCTGCAGCTCGGCCGTGACTGCCTTGACCTTCTCGGTGTCGGCTGTGAGGAAGAGAAAAAGTCAGCAAGACAAATCTCGCGAAGAATTTTGTAGGGTGCAGAAAAAGCAAATTTTAAATAGGCGAGAGACACGAAGCGAAAGCAGGCAAGGAGCGGAAAAAATTGAAGAGGCTGGCTCGACTAGGTTTGGCGGCCAGGGTGGCACAGGGCGAGCGACGGGGGAGGAGAGAACAACTTACGAATCTGGCTCGCTTGGAGCAGCTGGACCAAGTTTCCTTTATCCATCTTGAAGTTGTTGATGTCTCGACGTCTTCACGGCTTGCGCGCAAAGAACAAAAAGACAAGAGGGAAGGAGGGGCAAGGAGGAGAGAAGGGAAAGAGAAGGAGGGAAAAGGCCCGGCGCGTCGAATTTTTAACCAGAGACCAGACGTGGACGGGGTGTCGGCCAGTTGTTTTTTTTTCTTGTTGATGCCCGAACCACCTATTACACCGCGGCCATGGGCAAAAAAAAGTACCTGCAAGGACTGGCCACACAGAAATTTTAGGGGACCAAGGTGAAAATTTCGAGATTAGCCCCGCCACTGGTGATAAGATAACGAATCGAAGGCATCTGGAAGGGGGAAAAAAGTTGAAAAATTTCCTGCAAGGCGGGGTTCAGGTCCAGGTACCCCTCCTTACCTCATTGTCACTGTCCCGCCCGCAGGAAACCTGAGGGGTACGTCGCTTTGCTGCCTCTGCCCCTCCATTCACGTGCGTCTTGATTGTTTTTCGCTGCATTGCAGCCAGGTGCCGTTTCTTCATGCTAGCTGCTAGCATGAGACTAGTATTCGATGAAGACCTGGAGACTAACGCAAGTATAAAATCCATGCAAAGAATGACCGCCTTTGACGCTCCTCGTCGACACCAGTTGTGTCTTTGGATGATGCTTGGGGCCTCGGCAACGCTCCCGTCCCGTCTCTACCACTTACGTTCCCTCTGACTGTCGGACATGAATTTTACAAGCGAGACATCCCGGGAAAACACGACTACATTATGCTCAGGGCTGGCTTCTTTAGTAATGCGAAGCCCACAACATGAGAAAGGGGTTGCTCCCTCGACCAGTCCTGACCTATGAATGAGGGGAGGCCTCCACGAAGAAGTGAACTATCCTTCGTTTAGCGATGGGATCCTCTCATAGCCCTCAGGATTCGGCGCATGACATGTGGGCTCGGGCGCGTTTCGAACCAAGATTATGCCGAAGTTCTTCACCGACATTCTGGGCACCCGGCCCGAGTGACCCACATGCAGCTCCGACTCGGACTCGGCCCTTCGTCCCACCTTGGCTGAAATGCACATCGGTGCCGCTGCGGAGATGGGACGGGCCGGGGCCGGGTCCGTGGAGGCCACTTTCCAATCGTGAAGGGAGAGCAATAAACAATACGGCACTCAACTCCTGCTTCACGTTCAACATCACCTGAAATACAGAGAATCTCTTCTTAGACAGCGGCTAGCGGCACGATACTAACCTCAAACCATTGCCAATATATCGAGGTATGTCGGATGATATGGAGCGTGTTCCTACATCATGACAGCCTGCACACCTGCGTCAGAAAATCGACAACATCATCTGACATCGCACACTTCTTATCAAAAATCAGGAACAAAACAAGAGCAGGAGAAAAACAAAACATTTTCCTGAGCTATTACGGTGCTTGAACAGCCTGGCTCTGGCAACGCCCCATGTACACGCCATTGAATAGTTGCCAGGACTGGTTCACGCAATAAAGATTGCTCATCTAAATCGCTGCAGCCATCGAGTGACAGCATTCAAGTTAGAATTATTGGAGGTCACAAATATGTCACGTTTATTGACGAGAACAAACGTCAGGCGCATGAGAAGGCTCCTTTACAACAGAAATGATTCCTTTCAAAAGTGTATCGCGCGTCGCGAGTAAAGTGCGGATAATAATCTGTAGAAATTGCCATAGACCTAGAAAGCTTCCTCAAAGAGCGGTATTGCAACCTATTGACGATGGGTTTTAAGGAGACAAAACCAAAATCAGTTAATTCACTGTGGAGCATCAGCGACCAAGATTCTCGAGGCTAAACAGCCATCTCTCTCATTATGTTTTAATGTTCTAAGGAATGTATCGTGATATGCATATGCCAAATGATTGAAGAGCGCCGGTTCCATGCTGATGTTTAGAGTGCCCCCCGAGGGGCAGCCCCATTATTCTTTAAAAAAGACATTAATGTTTTTAATATCGTAAGACATCGCCGAGGTCGTGTGATGATTTACAGACCGCAGGCGCTGAGGGCGACCTGGGTGGCCTGGGCGTCGATGCGGCCGAGCTGGTTGGCCTGGCCGTTGGTGAGGTCGTTCATGGCGCCGAGGGCGAGGTTGAAGCCGGAGCCGGCGTGGTCGACGGCGAGGACGTTGATGCTCTTGCCGTTGTAGGTGAGCTGCCAGCAGGTGCCGCACTGTTTGTGGTGTTAGTGGTGATGCTCATGTGAGAAGTGAGGATGGGGGGGGACTCACGTTGGGGGAGTTCCAGCCGGCAATGGCGTCGGAGCCGCCGATGTAGGGGAAGCGGGCGACGTTGGCCTGAGTCTGCCAGCCGTACTTGGTGATCAGGCCGTTGGCGCCGTCGGAGCAGGAGACGGCGGTGAGGGAGCGGGCACCGTCATCGTAGCCGGTGTCGAAGGAGACGGAGACGGCCGCGGCGGCGGCGACGGAGGAGAGGATGGTGACGAGGTTGGAGAACTGCATTTTGGCTGTTGTGGTGGGTGGATGAGGCTTGGGAGCTTGGTAGTGAAGATGAGTTGTTTGTAGTTGAGGTTGAGGCTGAGAAGGCTGGTGAAGAAGCTGATGAGGAGGAGGATGAAAAAACAGGTCGGATGTCGTGAGCTGCTCGTCTCTCTTTATAGAGTCTCGACGGCCTGCGAGATCCATCAGCCTCCTCGGTTTCCGTCCATCCACGCCCACATCATCCCTCGCTTCCACAGCCCCCATGCCAGCGGAGGCTACAGCTCCATCACCAGACCGAGTGGATGGAGAGGAGGCACCAGCCGTGTCCAAACGGCGAGCCATGACCATGACGTTGTGGTGTCTCCGGCAATAGCGTCATGTCGTGACATGGAACCGGCACAGGACCCTTGCTACGTCAAGCTTGGCAAGACTCCATGTCGCATGTCACATCGTATGGGAAAACTGCCGCAGAGGGGAAGCTAAGCTAGCAACCGAACGAAGCCTTACTTCCCCAGGGTTCCTTAGGTTCCGTCAATTCGTATTGAAGGTGCAATGCTACGCTAGCAGAGGCGGGCAAGGCCGGGCTAAGGTAAGGTAAGGTGAGAAAAAGCGCCGATCACAGATCTTGGATGTTGTTGGTCGTGGGGAAAGAAGCAAGGCAGGGGTCTTGTGCTGGTGCCGGTGCTGCTGCTGCTGCATGGGTGGGTGTGTGTGGGTAGGTAGATGATGGAGGAAGGCCGCAGGCAAACAACATCCGGAGCCGAGGATCTTCTCTCTCTCTCACTCACTCTCAGAGCTCAGTACCTATGAATTGGACTGAGGTCGGGTGCGGATAGAGGTGGGCTCATCACCAGATTCTCGTATTCACTGGCCACGCGATTGCCTGAGTGGCTGCGGTCGACGGCGGACGGCGCGCCGGGATGGCTGTCATCCTTCTGTTTTTAGCAGTCGGAATTCCCCTAGGGTCGATTGAGGTTAGTGCTCTACAGTGGGCTGCTCGCCCGTTGGTTCGATGTTTTCCGTCGAGGTTCCATCAGAGTTGCGCCCCAGTTTTTGCCAGCCTCCACCATATGCCGCTGCTTTCTTTCTCGAAGTGGGACATCAACAAGTTACAACTCACATTCATGCTTCAACATCAGCTAGCTGCACGGGAAATCCTCTTCGCTCTTCGAGTCAGCACGTCGCAGGCTGAGTCGATTTAGTGTTGTTTCTTTTCTTTTCGTTTTTGCGTTTCTGCCGCCCGCCTCGCCCAGTGCAGCGGAGCCTCAGTCGGCTTTTCCATTGCGACCCTAATTACTCGCCTTAACTCATCGGCGTCGCCCCATAGAAACTTCAGCGGGACGCAACGTCAGGTGGTCTTCGGTTTTCCTCGTGTTCACAATGCCAGGAACGGTCTCTTCGCCAACGCACGCATCCGCCGAATGCGACCCCGTCGGCCTCAATTCATCTCTCAGCTCGGGGAGACATGCTCTTTTTCGAGTGATTTGTCGTTTCTCGGAAGGATGAGGCGTAGAAATGCTCCGCGCTGCAATGTACGGCAGTGGCGGACGTTAGTCTACTCTGTCAACAGACTAAAAGCGACTGAGCCTCCCAGGAAATCCTCCTGCTGCCACGAGCATGACCACAACATGGGCATGACGCCAATGAGACGCCGTCGCGGTATAGCTCCCCGCGACGGCGAAAAGATGACCCCCCGAAGCCTCCGCTCGGTGGCCAAGACTGAGAGGCAACAGCCTCGCTTTACACTGACCATCCAGCCGAGCAACGTTACAAGCGCGCAAGCGCGGTGATCAGCGCGCCAGTCTCATCGTGTGTTTTTGTTACGAGCGGAGAACGAAGTTCGGGCTGTGCGATGCCTCACTCCGCGGTATGTCCGACGCGAGGGAACCCTTAGTTCATCCAACCTTCAGACGTTGCAATGATGCAGCCTTGGAAAATCCGAGAATAGACATTCGGGGACATCGGCCGCACAGCGTTCGTGACATCTGCGAGATCGCCCATCCCCGGTCACCTTTTCCATAAGCTTCTTCACGGTACACTGCCGACGGGCATTGTTTGATGGGGATCGGTGGAGCTTTGGTGCGGTTGGCTCGGCAGAAACACGAGGTCTTGTCGCTCCTGTTTCTCCGCTTGCTTTTCGATGTTTCCGGTAGACATCGCGGAGGCGGTGAATGGGCCGAGCATCGCTGCGGGAGTCCGACGGGAGCGCGCGATCTGGGATAATATTGACTTGGGATGCAGGCTGGGCATTGCAGCGCACCCACCGGAACGCTGACAGCGAGCAATGCTTTCGGCAATGATCGGAGGCGTGAAGGTGAGTGAGGACCCGGTGGGCTGCTGGATATGTGATATCGTATCAATATGTCTGGGGTGCAAAGGTCGACGGCTGACCGAGTACGAGCCTCCCGGGGTGAGGGCAATATAAAAAGGCGGAGATGTGAGTTGGTTTGATGTCAGAACAAGGGAGATGGCAGAGCGACGTGACGTTCAGATAATGAAGCGGGCTCATGTCGATCGCTGCTCCAGCGTGGGACCTCAGGCCATCCGATACAAGACC